GGTGCGGCCTGGTACCAAATGCCCTGCGGACCGGTACCGGTCCGCGGACCGGCGGTTGGGGACCCCTGGTCTAAGGCCTTGATTGACGTCAGACAAAAACCTCGCCAGCCGGCCACCAGATAGCTCAGAGAATGAGAAATGACGAGCGAATGGTTTGAACATGAAGCAGGACTTCAAAAGCTGAGATCGGCAAATGTCTTAAAAAAAAAAACAAAAAAAAATGTTGGAGAAAAATAAATTGGGTGTTAAAGTCATACAGAAACTCGGCGAGCAGAGAAAATGCCATTTGTCACACACACAAAAAAAGATTAAAAAATAAAATAATAATAATAATAAATAAATAAAAATAATTGTCTGCAACATAACCAAAAATGTGCTAAAGTTAATTACAAAATCAACTACTCCTATTTAAAAAATAAATAAATAAAAACAATTAAGTTTTCCTGTTTTAAAAACTGTTAAATCATTTTAATATGAAGCAGAAACTCAAAAACCAAATAGCTGAATCTTTAAAAAAAAAAAACAAAAAAAAAACGCCATTGTATAATACTTAAAGTTGGACAAAAAAAACAGCTAGCAAGCCGCTAATAGGCTAGCTGCTAAATACGGCTACACTAAAAGTCAAGTTTTATTCATCTGCAAAGCAACTTTCATCATTCAAGTTAAGAGAGTGTTGAAAGACGGTTTTCATGTTTTAGCATAAACTAGGACCTTAAAAGTCAAACACCCCATATGTTGTTTAAAAAAAAAAGAAAAAGGGGGCGAGGAAGTACAAAAAAAAAAAACCTTTTCAAAAGCTGTTGATAAGATTTTCTTTTTGAAAGATGAACAAACGGGACTATGTTCAAGGTTGCGCATTATGTCTGAACTAAACGTTGAAACGTCCCCGGAGACATCCTGAACCCAATAATGACACACTGTTCGGTCAACCAAACTAAATAATGCCGTGCTTAGTCCCTTACGCCCCGTAATACAAAAGCAATTATGTGCTTCACATCAATAGAGAACGCGCCGACCCACAAACAAAATTACCCAGTGGTCAATAGTCATTTTTTTTCCCCCCGAAGACGACCAATTCTAAACTAGTGAGCGACTACAATTGGGATTCCTACAGTGTAATTATTTCACTCAATAAATCACGGGACTTCTGAACCAACAACCAGCGATTAGCGTTTTAATGACGATTTTCTAACCAGCAACTGATGTTGCCGAGGAATTGTAAACATTTACAGGAGTCTCCAGTCGCCGCATCATCGGAACTAAATTAAGATGTATTGCGTCGGTATGCGAAGGATAGACAAACACCTCGTGATCATCACAGTAGATAATGAATTGGACGTTTTTATTATTATCATCGTTTGCGGGTTGTGGCTCCCCACCTCGTAACAATGAGGTGCAAGCTCCCATTACGAAGATTAAAATCAACGCCGCACAACAAACTTGAATTATGGGATGTGACATACCAGGCGCCTTTGTATTGTATGAGTCACTTTATGTATTCATGGGAAGACACATTTTAAAAAAATCTCATCTAACATTGCCATTGAATTGAAATTTGACCTTCGACTTGGACCTGCAAGGGAAACCGAGTCAAAGAGAATAACTTCATTAAAATTGAACATTGTGACGGACACAATTTGAATATCAGTCAAGTAAAACGCCATTTGAGAAATTTTAAACTTGACATTTATTTGGTTGCGAAAAAAAGAAACTGCGTGCAGTACTTGCCAGTAGCTTTCACATTAGCCTCATTCGCCTTCTGATCTTCACTTAAATGATAACATGTACTGCATATGGAAGTTCCATAATAAATTAAAGTTAAGCTGTCTAGCTATTGCTACCCCCAAAGGAAATATACTGTCAAACTAAACAAAAAAACACGTAACCGCTTTGGAAAAGGCTGCTATCTTAATGCTATCACATGATGCAAAACGCTATTGACGGGCTAGCTAAAGTAGCACATATGTTGCAGTGTTATAACACCTGAAGAGATGGATATTTGTGCACAAACAGTGCTGGCACACATTAACATTTGCAGTATGCAAAAACAAAAAACAAAAAAAAACACACGACTTTTACTGCAACCGATACCAGTATGAAGATTTACTCAGAGTACTCACAGAAAATGAGAATACCTTTAGTACTTTTCACAAATAACATTTAACACAATGAGAAAAAACTGCGAACATTTTTTTTTTCTGTCACAGATGACGATCTACCAATGTGTCAAATTACCGCAGTGGAGGACGAACTACTGGAGGACTTAATGTCATATTTTTTTCTGTCCCCTTAGATATCGGCGGCTGGTATCGGCAGCCTCAACGAGTACCCGATACCTTAAACTATATCTGCTACTGGAATTGGCCTGGAATGGAATAATGGCATTTGCATTCATTTCAATGGGGTAGAGATTATTTGTTCAGCCAACACTGTAGTTGTACAAAAACATTCAAATATCAAAATTTCACACCGCCCTTGAAATAAATACACACTATATTTTAAAGTGCGCATGCCATGTTTTCTCTATTTTTTGATAAGACATTTCAATGCTATTTCACAGGATCATGACAAATCACAGGATGCATAATTAGCACGACGAGAGCATGACAGGCAACTAATTACGACTCAAAATGATAACGATGGTGTAAATGCGATTTCAACTGACAACCTGCTCAAGTCGTCTCATTTAAATAAATACAGAAGTGGACATTTGTGCGTTCTGTGCCACTTGTTTGCTACACGTTTTACGTCAGATGGTAATCCCACCTCCCTCTATTCCACCCCCCAACGAAAAAGCACGGGACATCAAATGAACACGTTTACTGTATACTGATTAAATGCAATGAGGAAAATGTGCAGGACAGATGAATGAAGGGACTCGGAATGGGACAGCTGGCTAAGCCCATGGGTGGTTAATCCCTTCACCCTGTTCTATTTACTGGTTTGTGGAGGTTTGGTTAACATGAAGCCAAAAATGGGCATGCATTAGTCGCCCCCCCCCCAACCCCCGCCTTAACAACGTGATTCTGGACGCGGAACAGAAGGACAGCCCAAAATAACGCAGGGTGAGTGGTTTAAAAAGGGGGGTGGGGGGGTGGTGAGGTAAGGTCACCGAGCAAATGGCTCGCGAAAAACTGCGGATTAGAACTCACCTGATGCGGAGAGCCGTCGAACAGCCTCGAGTCCGATAAAAGAAGCCTTCGGTGGGCTAAAATAAAGAAAGAAAGAAACAAACGGATGAATAAATAAAGCGTTTAAAAAAAAATAAAAACAAAAGGGGAAAAAAAAAAGAAGCTCACGCTGCTTCTCCTCGCGAATGTCTACGGTTCCTTCATCACAGCTCTTGCCGTGGAGTTTTTTTTTTTTTTCCCCCCCTTCCTTGCGGGATGTTGTGCCAGTGACAGCCGGCCAGCCGCAGCTTCACGGCAAAGCGGGTCAGCTATGTGTCCTCCATGCAAAGATTTTCAATCTCAAGACGGTGTGGCACGTTCGGTCTCATTAAGAGTAAACGGGGACTTGATTACAGCGACACACGCGTCATCACGGCCGGAGCCGGAGCTGGCAAAAGCATGACGAACTCAGCTCGACGTACAAAAAAAAAAAGAAGAAAAATAAAGAAAAAAGAAATTAAAAATCCCTTTGACGTCTCCTGTTGAGTGTCCGGTGCATGTAATCTTCCACGGAGGTATTTTGTTGTCGTTCCACCCCCCCTCCAGATTGTGCCCGAGTTTTCGGCCTCAACACAGCAGCTCTTTCTTCCTGCCAGGCAGCCATCAGCCAATCAGAGAGCGGCGTTGGCAGGGGGCGTCCGGAAATCCAGGAACGGAGTTCGTAGGACTGGAGTTGATCTAAGTATCCATCCATCGATCCATCTTGCCGTTCATCCTGGGGTTGTTGACATTCGTCTTAACTTGGATAGTTGTCTTTTTACCTCGCAAACTACCTATTTTGGGAGGAGAGCGTCAACAAATGACGAAATGACAGAAAGCAGGGGCAGGGAAATAAAAAGGGGGAAGGAAAAAGACAACCGTGACATGACATGACATGTATCAGTTAAAATTGCCATGCCGATAATGCTAATACAGTCCAATGATACGGCTCTGCAAAAAACAAAAACATGCAAGTACATATTGATTAAATTTCCAATAGCCGGAAACATACTTGCAATCTCGCCCAATTGTTGTCATGGATGCCCCGCGAGGTGTTTCATTCGTTAGATCCTCCCCCATAATCATCATCACGTCATGTAACACGCTTGAGTTGGACACCGAACCCCCCCAGATTCCCCCTGCCGCACCATCGGTTGAACGAATGAGATCTGTATTTGAATCCATAAGCAGCATATCCACTATTATGGCTGAAGAGGCGGCATTGTCAAAGCTTCTGTGAATACCTCGAAGGGAGAAAGACATTGTATCAATGCGCTCCACTTATCATTTAAATGGGACAGATGAAAGATTTGGGAACCCTTTACATGCACTACATTGTGTGTGAGTGTCAGTGTGTGGAGGGGGAGTGCAAAACGGCTCACATTTTCAGAAATAGGAAAATAACCAAATATTTACTTGGTTGTTTAGTTTCACACTTTTGGGGGCCACACCCGGATAAGCCAACCAAACCAGGGGGGTATTTAATGGCAGCGAGGTGAGCTTGGCTGATGGTCTTCCAGGAATATTAATAATCCATGTCAAGACCAATGAGGCAATTCATAAGGTAGCGGCCCGATCTGGTAACTTTCCAGTTCATTTGCATGGACTGCACCGGGCAATCTTTCGTTACATCTTTTCTCACCTGTGAAGAAAAACACGGTTCACGTTGAGTCTTTCTACTCGCCACTGATATGATAAAAGCGGCGCATTAGAGGTATTAGAAAGGGAGGGGGTCGGGGGGGTGGGGGGGACTGATGAGTGAATCTCCAGCCAAATGTATCTGAAATGCGATTACGGTGCTGTGCACGTAATTAGGCAACACACAAAGGACGTTGAAATGTGACCCGGAGTGTTAAGACACTGATATGAGTGCACGCTTGGATTCATTTATGCTTTCATCATGGTATCCTGTCACTGTCTTTTTGTTTTCCTCTTGCAAAAAATATTTCTGCTCCCCCCCCCCCAAAAAAAAAATATGCCGTCGATAATTGGACCACTCATTCCCAAGTGTGTTGCCGCTAGCGGTACCCCGGATCCGACTCGTAGTGTATGAAAGGCTCACTTAGTACAGTTCAGTTGTATTTAACTTTTAAGGTCAAGACATGAGTAATTATGCTTTAAGAACTGTTTCATCTGGAATATTTATTTAGCTACGGTACTTATGAACTCGAGTGTACTACATTTTAACTTGCAGAGCTAAGTGGTTTTCTTTTAGTTGAGAACCACTGCTTTGTATTTTGGCGGCGTTACAAAAAAAAAAAACAAACCCCAACTATTTTCAATCCAAATATATGACTGACCTAAAAAATGATCACTGTCGGATTCAAATATTGTCGCCGATGAAGTTGTGTGAAGTCGAAGTGCAGCTTTCTATTTCACTTTAATGAGCCTTACATCCGCCCCCCCAGCTGTGCTTTTAATCCGCATTCATTTAATTCCCACCTTTGATCAATTAACACGTGCTTTGTTGCCCCATCCTCTTGGGATTGCATCACGGATCAAATGTAACTTCGCTTCGGCAAGGTTAAAACAAATATGCTGCGTTACCGTGGGAACTTCACGATATTTCGGGAAGACTTTATACATTATGAGAGAGGTTTCCGCATCATCTGTGTGGTGTGTGTGTGTGGGGGGGGGGGGGGCAATGACCTCGAAGTGGTAACTGGCTGCGGCATCCTACCTTAAAAGCTCCAAGAGGAACATTTGTGTGATCCTTTACCATCAATCGTTTCAATTTTTATTTATTTATTATGATTATGATTTTTGACCCTCTGCCTGCACTTGGGAGTTGAGTTCACATGTGGCATTGACCACCAATGTACAGACCTTTCCGTGGCAAAGACATGCACACTCACCGGACCAAGCCACAGCTGTAACAAACAGAGCTGAGGGAAAGCCCAAAATGAGATGGCTTGATAGATGCTAATTCTATTAGTGTTCATTATCAGGGAACACAATGAGTGGGGACACACAGGTGATATATTACAGTCCGCTAATGAGGCATCACCGGATCGCTGCAATGATTATGGCGATGTCGAGATCAAGCAGAGTTAAAAACGTGACCAAAACCCAACGGCCGTGCTTTTTTTGGTTGAAGACGGGATATGGAACGACGGGTGCAGTACGGTTACGACTTGCGGGACGTATATTGAAATAGCTGGCATAGACTGACCAATAATAGAAGAGAGGATTTCTAAAAAAATATATATTTTTTAAATGGCACTGGAAGGTCTCTCTGTCTTGCAGATTCTCTATTTCGGATTGGTGTGGAACATATCTCCGGTGAGGAAGTCATAAGTCCAAGAGACCTGTTCTGTAGCTAGCTAAAGAGGTTGCTGCGCACGCTCTGGTAGCTAATACATTATTTGGGCAAGGAGGGAGGGTGGTGGGGGGGGGGGGATCCTTCACACAGGCATTCGATGAGCACCGCAAGTACAAGGCACACACGGGGGGAGCTGTGTGTATAGCGCTAAAAGCTGCCTCTCAGGGGAATTCTAAGTGCCATCCAGTAAGTCTGCCTGCTTGCGGACCGAAATAAAAACCCGACGGTGAAGTCAAATGGGGAGTTTGGTTCAGAGAAGAAAGGCTGACGTCGTGCTAGAAAACAAGGAGGAGGAAGACGAAGGTTCAAAAGAGAAAAGGGAAAAATGATAATGTGCCAGATCATACCGGGGGGGTTGACTGAACAAGCCGGCATTGTTTTGGAGTGAAGGTGTTGCCGGATGATAAGTGATGGCAGACTGTCAAGAGGAAGCAGGGGCAGTTTTTGTGGGAGTAAAAAAAAGACTGTGATTGATGAGCGCAGAATTGTATCATCAGCTCTTGTGGTCGGCCACGCTTCCTTAGTGGACAGAAAGTGCTGAGAGTTGGGAGATTGTGGTTCCCGGAAACGTTAAAGGTCTTCCCGGGTAAAACACAACTTTGGCGATGGGAGAATCTGAATCTGCACAATTATGTGGTATCGTTTACAAATGGAAGGATCTTGACATGGGGAGAAGTGAAGTGGGGACAGGACATATCCCTGGGGGGCTCCCAGGATTTCTGCCCGTCAGGAATCTGGTCATCCACGGGCAGATGACAGGAGAAACACCGACCCAAGAGAGGATTACCACGAGGGTGGTAGCTAGTTCCTTGGGTACTTGTAGGTCAGCGCCAAGGTGTTTTCAGATGTCGTGCGGCCCCTTGTTGCGAGCATAATCCCATCGACGCGCACAACAGGATTGAGGATCACAAGAGACTTTTGGAGGAGACAGATCTTTGAGATGTGGAGAATGCAGTGTAGCACAACCATCCGGTCTATGGAACACTCAAGGGTGGGAAGACTTAACGCAGTGTGGACTGGAATATGGAGGGCTTATGTTTAGTACAAGTGTGAAGCAGCTGCCGTTAGTCGGAAGACCTTGAGCAGACTCGACAACCCTTTCTCCTCTTACGGGGATGAAATGAAAGACAACTCTTGGCGTCGTGCAGTAATTACTCACATCAATGTGGAAATATTGCCATGGCAATTGACAACATGCCGCTGACTCCAACCGGTTTGGTCGGACAGAAGAAATGGAAATCAAATCTAAAAGCAATTGTCCGCAATTAGCGCGTCAAAAACGATTCCTGCGATAACCTTGACAAAACATATTTCCGCTTCTCACGTGGTCTTGTTTTGTTTCGGCGACTTTGCTGCTGCCTGGAGAAGGTTTTGATTGAGGGAGAACCCAAATTGCGATGCAAAAAGAAAAACATTTGTTGAGGCCTTCAGTGGATTTTTTTTTTTTTTTTTTGTCAATCAACTGGCTGCATAACGTCAGTGTAAGTCGCTGCTGCGGCCACGCATATATGAGCTTTTGAAAAGACTCCCTCTGATCCGCCAGAAGTCAACAAGGACAGAGGTGCCAAACGACAGAGCCCACTTAAGTCTCCGCGGTCGACGCAGACCTCTCCACAGTTCTCAGCATGCTCCGCGCGCTAAAGCCGAGACAAGGCTACTTGAAAGGCGGGCCTTCGTCAAGTGGGCTCACGTAGCGCCATGCCAAGCGCGACAGGGAGAGAGAGGGGACCTTGCGTCAGTGTCTCGGCTCTCACTCCAAGTGCCGGTCGTCCCGGGGAGCGTCTGCGCCGAATGTCTCCGGAGCAAGCCACCTTAAAATAGAAAGCGGGGACAAACCCCCTTTCATGTTGACGCTCCGCCGGAGTACTTAAATCGCCTGATATCGATCAATGTCGGGATAACCTATACATTTATATCGTGTCTATAAAAGGCAAACTGCGCTACAACAACACACAACAAACACTGAACCGTTGATCAATTTGTGTCAGTGTGGAAGAAACATTCTAGTCAATCCCTGGGGGGAAACTTCGCTTACACGTGTCAAATATAAACACGCCTGAAAAATATGTTCCTTATGTGACGCGGAGCAATACCTTGACTTCAGACTTATGATTTTTTATTTGTAAAAATGTCCGTCCGTCCGCCCTGCCATCGTCCGTGCTTTTTTTCCCCCGCATATGTTGCCGCTTGCATGTTCATCGCCTTGCGTGCCGTTTATTTATAAGAAACGTGGGAGGACTGACTCAGCCAACAATCCGACGCGAGTGCTTGTGCGCGGGGGGGCGGCTCCGGTCAAGGCCCGCTGCGTTGGATG